TCCCCCCTCAGTACAATACTCCCCGGCAGCCTCCACTCACCTCGTCCAGTGGGCACAGCACTGCCAATCCGACTGCCGGCCTGCTCAGTTGTTGATTTCACCTCTCCCACTTCCTCCGCGCCCGCTGACGGCTCTTTCTCTCCCGTCTGCTCTCCTCCCTCGTCCTCTTTCGGGCTTGATGGACGGCTGATTGTTCCCTCTTCCTCCTCCGCTTCCTCTTTGGCTATTTGATGAGAAAACAGAAGCACTTAGGAAACAATTCACCCAACAAACGTTGAATCTCATGGACAGGAAAAAAGTGGTAATGTGATAATCTGTTTCTTTGACACTCGTAAACACGACTCAAATTAAAATTATGACACACGTTTCAATTACACCACCAGTAAATATTTATCCTCAAAGTCCACCTTCTGATTCATAGTGTTTAAAACATGTTCATTTAATCTTTTGTAACTCCAACCCTTCAAAATAAGCATCAAGCCATTGAAAACTGTTGGCCAACTGTTTAATCACCCGAAAAGCTAACAACTGTCAGTAATCCTGGACTGACTACAAAAACATTTTTTTTAAAAATCAGTAACTAAACAGGGTCTGAAAAGTAGTGTACATCAGAATTTTCTTTTGACGGTCAACCTTCCACTTTGCTCTCAATAGTCATACGACAAGAAAGACAACCAATTCTTTGTCCTGATCATCACCACTATAAGTCTATCGTCACAGCAGTACCCAGTAGGCTTTTGTTTTCTACGGGAGTACACTGTACTAGTTTATTTCAATCATTTTATGATTCTTATTGGGAAGCATTGCGCTGCCAAGAGCGAAATGCTCGCAGCTAAAGGGATTTGAAAACAACAATAACATGATTCTTATTGAAACAAACGTATCAATGGTCTTTCAGTCAATAGGAAATGAGAGAGATTGTAAAGTCAAACAATAAAGGAAATATTTTTACTTTCACTAAACAAAATCATATATTTATGTACGATGGTTTTACTACATGAACATGTATATTGAAAGAAACATTCATAAAAACAAAAATCATCAACATCTGAGATTGAAACTAAAAATCTATTTAGAGAAATGACTTTGTTCCATATATTGAGACCATATTAATTATGCATGTTGACGATAAACAAGTCTGTTGGACTAAAAGAAATAACTGAAATTTAACAAAGTAAACAACATATTATCATCAACATCTCAACCATGAGGTTTAAAAAACCCCCACCCAGCATGATGTCTTAAATTATACTTGCAATCAGACCCATAGCAAATGTATAGATAAAAACATTAGTGTTTCTCACAAAGGGACCACAAGTTCTGCATGAAAAAAAAAGTATGTTTAAAAAAAAAGTATGTTTAGGCCATTTGGATTATACCAATATAAAAGCAAAGCCGAACCCCATTCATAAAAGAAAACATTCCTTCCACAGAGACAAAAACTACCTCTCTTGCAACACGCCATTCAGCTTTGGGGGTTGACAAAGTTTTAACACACACAGACAATGTACCATATGTGTCGCACCGTGGTGGAATCAGGCGCTTATCAATTTGGGGGAATGTGGAGCTATTGTTATCGCCTTAAAGCTTGTACATTTGCCTTGCTTTCGATAAATGAAATACCCATTTATCATGAACACAAGTAGAGATATTTGCGATCGAAGGAGGTAGGGGTAGCTTGGCTTCAAGGGTAAAATTGGCGAGAAAATGGCTGCCAAAATTTGGTTATTTACATAGCCTGAGAGTCCGTGGATACTGAAAAAGCACATTTTTTGTGCCTTTAATCAACGTTTTTCAGCAAAACCCACACAGAAATGGGTTCTTAAATGGACATAAAAGATGTTGAGCCAAAAAACAAATTTTCAATGAAAATTACAAAACCGGCAGAAAAATGCCAAATTCTTCAATGTCATTATTTTGAGGAGCGCCTGATTTCCCCACGCTGCCTCACATAGAAAATATGATACAATATTTGATTACAGCAACTATTGGGAGCTGTGGTAAATAAAGAATCAGCAAAATATAATTATCGTTCTCTCTCTGTGGTCAGAGCTCAGTGAAGCCTGTATGTCCAATTACCTCGAAATGTCTGGGAACAAGTTTCAAACTTGAATTTCTTGCAGTACTTAAAACCACCTTATGCTTCAAACATTTTAACAGTAGAAAACCCCCCCCAATAATGCAAAGCATTCATAAACAGGTAACAAAGTAATAATTGAACAGACAACAAAATCCAGTATCTCTGCGAGCATGTGACGTCTGTCTCTGCACGTGTATCTACTCATGTGAGCCTAGCTATGCACATAAAGGACACTAGAAAATGCAAGAGTAATTATACGTAGTTAAAAAAAAACCGGGACAGATGTATAAGTGTGTACATTTTTGTGTAATTGTTCAGGTTCCCATTTTCTCTTCTCTTTACTACAGCAGTCTGATACGTACATATATCGTGGAATCGGTGGGATGTTCGTTTTGTACGAGTTATGCTTTGTACACGTTTTCAATACAGAGAATATATATAATATTTTAAAGAATTCAAGACCTGAAAGTCTGTTCACTATGAGTCTGTTTTATTATGAGCGTGCTGTACTATGTGAAAGTTTTACTATGTGGGTGTTCACTATGTGTGTGTTTACTGTGTGTGTGTTCACTATGTGTGTGCTAGACTATATTTTTTTCTTTTTTTTCTTTTTTTTTTTTGGTACATCATAATTCTTGTTCTCCATAGACACTGGATTCTTGAGGTGTCTCTTTGCAGAAAATAAAACTGGTCAAGAGCAAACAAACAGACAGTCAAGCGAAACAAGTCAAAGTTCACGTGGTTTGACCTTTGGCCTCAGGGTCAAGCACACCTGGATGTTCGTGATCCCCTTCAGTCAATGCTATTGGTGGAATAGTGGAAATCACAAGGCGGGTGAGACTATCAAAGTAGAAGAATTACAATGCAATGAAAAAAAAATCCAAATGAGAAGAAAAGAGGAGATCAAAGTCAGCAACTTTCTACAAAAATCTTTTCAAAACAAAATGCTGTTGCGTTCCACAAACTTTTGCAAGATCCAGTAGCTAAAATGATGAAGAGGCACTAAGAAACTGAGCGCATAGAAGAAAGAAGCAGATATACCAGTATATCGAGCCTAATCTGGTAGCTTTGATCCTCATCTACATTCTATCGTCCTCACCTTTTTTCTCTTTCTCAAGGGCATCATAAGTGTCAAACATATCCCAGTTGGTGCATTCCACTGCCACAGCCTGTTGTAGAAAGCATTAGTTTGAGTGAACACAAGCACATTGGCACAATACCAGCCATTTGGGGCATACAATAAAAGCAAGATCGACACACAGATTTAAAATAAGTATAGTAAAAAAATAGGACCAACCAGTAGGTTGAGAATTTATTAACAGGTTTGGGACCTATGGTTTTGCTAACTGTAAACTCCCCCCCGAAGATCAACCCCCCCCTGTGTGAGACATTGAAAGTAAGCAGAAAGCCAGAACCACTCAGGATGCACATCAACAACAACAGTATCAGACAGGTCCAAGAATTTAAGTACCTCAGAAGTATATTCACAGAGGATGAGCGACTGAACTGAGAAATTGAAACACCAGTACAAAGGCCAATAATGTTAGTTACCAGCTTACTCCACTACTGAAACATCCTAACATCCCCATGACAACAAAACTCAAAATGATCAACACCATATTCATCCCAACACTCACCTATCAATGCCAGACATGGGCCACAAACAGGACATTAGAGCAAAGAATTACAACATGTGAAATGTGATGCCTTAGAAAAGCAGTAAACAAAATCAGGTGAGACAAAATTAGAAACCCAGTAATCCGAGAAATGGTGGGCACAAATGATGTCATGCATCACATCCAACACCAAAGAATCAAACGGTTTGGACATCTCATACGATTACCAACACACCATCCAGAACAACGTGCTTCCATAAAAATTTTTAATGGCAACAAGGCTAGAGGGCGACCGAGAAAGACCTGGATAGATGGGAGTCAGGGAAACATTGACACTCATGGCATCCCCCTGATCCAAGCTCTCCGGCTGGCGACAGAGAGACGTCTCTTTCTTCCCACAACACCCAAAAGGGTAAAAGTGGCGGATAAAAGTAAAAGTAAAAAGTACTTACTGCTGTGTCAATCTTGATTGTGCTGACACTCTTCATCTTTGGAGGTTCATTGAACGTGTTCATTCCTCTCTCGGCATACAAGTCATTGCCAACACGACTTTTCTGCAGCTGAAATAGATAGGAATTTAAGAGGATTTAGTGTGAGGGAACAAATTTGCTCAGACAAAGAACAATACAAACACATACAGCAAGACAACTGTAACAGGAAAATAACAATCACGACCCCTCCCCCCCCCCACCCCCAAACACACACAAGCCCATCACATTGTACTATCTCAAGACTACATGAGATTTAATAAACTCGGGTCGTATTGTGATATTTTAACTAAACATGATTTTACACCTACAGTCAAAAGCAAACAATATATATTTTTTTAAAAGCAACACATACCAGTACAAGAAAACCTCATTGATGAAATATATATACAGATACAAATATCAACAAAAATTTTCATTGGAAAATTGAGAGTTTTGTCACTTTGCCGCCAATATTTCTAAGAATAAAAATCTTTTTACCTCTGCATATGCTTTGTTCCTTTCAATGATGTCCGTAGCTTCTTCACACTCCTTGGAGACTTTGATGTCAGGCATGTCAAACATCCAGATGGTGTCCGTTTCAGTCAAAGTGATGTCCACAATTTTCACCAGATCCTCTTCCGTGGGTATCTCCTGCACTTCCTGTCGTTTGTGCCTCACCTCTGAGACAGATTTTTTTTTGTACATTTAGAGAAAAAAGTGAAGACCAAACACTAAATTTAAATGTAAGGATAATTGTTATAACAGTCAAAGATTATTGATAAAAAGAAAAATTAAAGTATATGATTTTTTTTCCAGAAACACCACATAATCCTCTTGATATGAGAAGATACCTTCTTTACATGCAGATATTCATAAGTGGCATTATCAATCACAACAACTAAATAAAACTGTTATTAGCCAGCATTGATGAACAACTGAATAACGCTATCAGCAGTCAGTAAATACTGCTAAATGAAACTATTATTCACAACCCCAAACATAGCTCACGAAAAACCTTGGAAGTTCCAAAAAAATGTTCCATCCATTCTTCACAAACTTTTATGGAGACGTGACCCAACAGAATCGTAGATTAAAAACCAGATCAAGGTCAATTAGCATAAAAAGGGCTCTTGGAAATTTTTTTAAAGTTTTACAAATATTATTCTAAAAACTAGTGAACAAATCTCTTTAATCAAATAATGTTTTCCTATAAAATGAGTATTCATCATGGAAACTTTATTGATCAAATGAGTGTTTTATATGATGTGATGTAGGCCAATGGCCTTAAACACTGAATAAACTTACTCACTTCCTTCCTGTAAAACGTTACCTGAGAATGTGGTGAGGTCTGGAGAGCCCGTCTCATCGGGAGGGATCGAGTCTGATCCCGTGTCATAAGACTGAGTGAAAACAGATCTAACAGCAAGAAAATAGAAAGAGAATCTCTCTTTGAATACAACGAAATGATGAAAAACCTTGTGAATACTCAGATATTACATATATACAACAAAAGGATGAAAAACCCTATGAATACTCAGACATTACATATATAAAACAAAAGGATGAAAAACCCTTTGATACTCAGACATTACATATATACAACAAAATGATAAAAAAATTCTGAATACTCACACACTGCAAACACAACAAAAGGATGAGAAACCCTGAATCCTCAGACATTACGTATATATATACAACAAAATGATGAAAAACCCTGAACACTGAGACATTTCATTTCCCTCATTGCCTCAGTGTTATTTTGTTGAGCATATGCCTCTATGAGGGTGCAGTGGCGGAATGGTTAGTGCGCTCGTCTCCGAAGTGGAAAGTCTGGGTTCGAGCCTCGGTTCGGACAGATTTTTTTCGCCCCCTCCTGTCCATCCAGCAGTAATGGGTACCTGACTTCAAGTTGGGGAAGTAAAGGCGGCGTGGAAAGGAACTGGCTACCCTACCACAATATGTTGAAGGCCCAGGAAGTTGTCTCACTAACAAGTCAATCCCCAATGTCCGGATCGGATGCGGGAACAACTTTACTTTATATTCCGCTCAGCTAGTAGCTTTTTTAAATGTTCCTTTTACCACTTTAGGTTAATATATTACTCGGCAGCATTTCGCTCTTGGCAGCACAATGCCTCCCTCTAGTACCCACATGCCCTTGTCATCTGGTCAACGCTAGAGTAGAGCAGGCTTTGTAAGTCTGTAGGTGTGTGTAGGAGCCTGCATCGAAGAACTGCCAGGTTTGGGCAGTGAAGGAGAAGATGTTCAACGGTCTCCTCATGGTAGTCACAGTGTCTGCAATGGGATTCCCACATGGGATTAATTCTGTTTATGTGCTTGTTGGAGTGTAAGTGTCCTGTGCGGGCTCTGAAGATCAAAGTCTGATCAGCTCTACATAAAAGATTCGAAGGGCTTTTGGGGTTGGGTTTGTTCATGTACCCGAAAAGAGATCTTCCTGTTTCTGTGTTGGCCCATCTGTTTAGCCACTCGTCTCTGCTTTTGGCTTGGATGATCCCTCTGCAGGTCTGCAAAGAGGCGGCTGTGTCTGTCTGGGGCAGGCTTGCTCCAGTCTTTGATAGCTGGTCTGCAGTCTCATTCCCTGGTACTCCAGAATGGCCAGGCACCCACTGCAATGTGACCCGGACGCCATAGGAAGTGCCCATCTGTTTTACAAGGCTGAGAATGTTCCCATCACCTCTGTAGTCTCCTCCTCCCTCGACAGCTTGGAGTACTGACATTGAGTCAGAGAAGACAACAACACCCCCTGGTGTTACTGCACCTTCAAAAAAGTCTTGGGTGATCTGCTCCAGGGTCTTTACTATGGCAACTCTCTCTGCGTCATAGTTGGAGTTGTATGTTTCATATGGGCCAAATAGTCGTGTCTGCTTCTTCTCTCATTTTTCTCGATAAATTTCAGTATTTTGGTATACTCAGTCAGAAAAAAGTAAAAAAAACCCAGGTAGATTAACACTTTGCCATCACAAGGCTCATATAGTAAAGACCCTTGTCATCAAAGGCAAAGGCGTTTTGGGGAAAATCCAAAGAAAGTGGGTGCAAGATGTGACGGCAAAGTGTTAAGTGTTAATGTGCTTCAGATGTGAGTTAATCTTCAAAAAGCGTTAAATTCTTGGAAAGCGAGACACATTTTTTCTTTTACATTTGAAGAGCCCCAAAACTTGATTCTTACGAGTCATCTAATTGAAAAAAAAGATGTGTCTCACTGCAGATGTAGGTAGACAGCACACCTACTGACCTACTGTCACCTGCACAACAGCGACAAAATATATCTTTCCGGCCACAGACTTGCGGCCTATAGGTTAAAGTGTTCGCCTCTCGCGGCCTAGAGGTTAAGGTGTTCGCCTCTCGTGGCCTAGAGGTTAAGGTGTTCACCTCTCGTGGCCTAGAGGTTAAGGTGTTCGCCTCTTGTGGCCTAGATGTTCAGGTGTTCGCCTCTCTTTCAAAGGTCCCGTGGTTAGAATCCGGGTAGTGATGGATAAATTTTGTTCTAAACAATTGTCTCCTTCAACCTCCTTTCCTGCTATCTAGCAAAGTTCTGTCATCTGCTTTCGTCTCCTCTTTCTGCCCCCCACCCCCTCCCCTCCTTTGCCCCCTTCTCTGAGCTCCGGACTCTTTCTGTAGCCTTCCTACTGATAATCTTTGGCTCCTTCTTGCTGTTGTCTTTCAGCCACACCCCTGATCTTATGGTAGGTAAGATCTAACACTTAGCCTTCTCGGATAAGGGCGAAAAATATCTGAGGTCCCGTGTGCAAGTTGAGCACGTTAAAGAACCTTTTGTGGTCTAAAATCGATAAGAGCAGGTTTCGGCCGCCACCCCGGCAAAAATTAAAATTTCCTACCAACTGAAAACGTTTAATGTGTCCGCGCGCTCATATGACCTTATGCAGTTGCGAGTGCTGTAAAACACTTAGACCAACAGACGGCTCACCTGGTGAAGGGGCCACCACCAAAGACGCTCGTAGTCGCTGTGCCAGCCTGGGTGCCATATATGGATGCAGATGCTTGAGACATGAGGTCCGTTGGCTGGTGAAAGAATACAGCAGTAAAGCTTTCTGTGTTTAATATAGACAATACGTTCTTTGAAATAGAAGAGAGAGTGCTTTCTTCTAGCATTATCAACAATCTGCAACTTCCTGCACATATCAACAAAAAAACCCCCACCCAACAACAAACAAACATGCAAGAACTTGTCCTCCAGCATGGCGTCGGTGGCCTACTGGTTAGGCAACAGGACTCGTAATCGTGAGGTTGAAGGTTCGGGGGTTCGAGCCGCGGGCCCGACGTTGCGTCCTTGGGAAAGGCACTTTACACAAACGTTCCTCAATTCACTCAGGTGAAAATGGGTATCCAGCAACAGACAATAAAAGATCTTGTCAGTTTGTTAGTGTTTAAGTGCTTAACCAACTGCTTGCACTGTATGCTTCCAGGGAAGCTGAGAATGTTTCTGAGTGTTCTATGGGGTAATAATAATTATAGTGTAAAGAGCATAGAGCTTGCTTTTGAGTGGGGATATGCGCTATAAAAGTGCTATTTATTATTATTATTATTATTATTATTATCATCAAGCAGAAGTATGGTATCAAGTATGGCCCAGTTTTGGAAGTCACTACACAGGTAATAAAAACAAGAAGGATCTTTGACCAATTGAAATTCTTCCCATGTCTCCTTGAAACAGAGGTTCACATCACTTGATCAAGAAATTTAGGTGGCATGTCTAAAAACAAAGTTAAAGTTTCACAATCTTCACAAACTTCACATTTTTTTGTTAAGGGAAGAGAAAAAGTCTGTAGTAAAAAAGCATTTTGCAAATGAAAGCAAATTATTTTCAAAATCAACCAAACAATTTATCAGATTATTTTCTACCTGGATTATATAACCAGATGATGACTGACTCCGTCTATCCTTGTCACCATTATAAGCATCAGTAATTACATCCAAATATGCAAGATTCTTCCATTGTTGCTGGTCTAAAAAAAAACCTCTCTTCTTTGAGCCACACTCTGTAGCCTTCGTAGCTCTCCTTAGATTTGAGCAAAGTACACGAGTACTAACAAGAAATGGAAAGAAATCTTACTCAGAATCAAGCTTTCATTTTTAAGCTATGCATTTTTTTTTCTACTCACAAAATTAGGAGCAACAACACAAAGTGTGCATAGACAAATTATATTCATTTAAACCTTGTAAGCGACTGAACAACTACCCTTTGTAAACCATGGCTGTTCAGTTTCACTCTCCGAGAGGCGCACTTAGTTATGTAGCTCGTCTGACCCCTGTGACCCCAGACGGAAGGTAATAAATCTCGACATGTTACGCCACTTCCACCCGCTTATCTCTAGATCTGACCACTCCGCGTGGAAAGGGTACAATTTCAAGAAATTAACTGGAATTTACAGCATAGTACTCCCTTTCTCCATCCCGTAAACCTAGGAGTGTTATATACCAAATAAAAGCTCAGCATCTTCTCTATAACCTGCAGTTTGAAACCAGGTTCTATATTGTTTTATGTTCCCTTGGGATATCTATATGCTACCACTGTTGTACAGCTGTGTGTTATTGAATTTTTAAAATTTAAAAGCAGATTTTTATAATTCAGACCGACAGTTTTTGTTTTAACTTTCACATTTCTTTTATAAATCTATTTTCTCCATGGTGCTGAAAAATCTTTCGAGTCCACCTATATTTCCATGAACTAGCGCACTTTATGTGACTAGTCTAGAGCAACGCTCGGTACAAAGAAAAACTCTGTGAAACGGGAACTTGCCGTCTGACTTCCTGTGTGTTTATAATTACAGAGCCTTTTAACATCAAAGATGGAACATTCTTATAACATCCATTTTGAGAATGTTAACAAGTTTTGTTGTACTTGTGATGAAATAAGCATAAATGCTAAAGAATCTAAGCAGCGTCGATTTCTGTGTAAAAACCGTAAGCCTGAATTAATGCTATATTATAGGGGAACATCGACAATGAAACCGCCTAAAAGCATTCTAATACTACGTGGCACGTGAATCTACAAATTACAAAAGCAAGTTAGAGCTGCAACTTTGCAAGCCATACAAACTGTGGTGTATTTGGTTGTTTTTGGTTGTGGCAGGGGGTTAGGCCTAGCCTATTGTATTGTTTGGCTGAAAGTGTGAGAGTGAGTAAAGTGTGAGTCTGTGTTCAGTTGTATTGTTTGCAACTTGATAAAAGTCTGAGTGACTACAGGTGGGAGTTGGAGAGGAGAGAGTGGTATCAAGGCAGAGGAGGCCTGCTGACAGTATAGATTGTGAGAAAGGCTAGTTAGAGCCTCAGTTCAGTTGTGCGTGAAGTGTGAGATTCCAATCCAACGCATCGGGGCCCCAAAGCTGCGGAAGGAATCACAACACAGAGCAGAGGAACAGGTTTGGCTAATTCCTGTTATAGTGGCATGTGACAGAAAGTTAGTAGTGTAAAATCTTTGTTTTATGTTCCAAGTAACAACACAAACTGTGTTGAAGACAGTGCCAATATATTGTCCGCTTACGACGCAAAAGTATTAACGTTAATGGGTGCTCTGTGTGGTGTGCTCCCTGCTTTAAAATGAGCAAAGGAGGTATTAAAGAGAGCATTCCTTTGTTTAGGGAAGGACACGAGTTCCATTCTCCGCCCCCTGCTCGTATGATAATGGAGTCTGCTAGTATAAAGGATATCATCACCCCAGTTCTAGATCTTCCTCTGTTAGTACAGGCAATGATGCTCAGTCATTTACCACCCAATCTACTATGACAGCATATTTACACATACAGACGAAGACTCGTTTTATATTTCATCAGGAACTCATAGTTTGCCTTCCACACCTTATGGAAAAAACCTTAGCTCCTAAATAGTTTTTCAATATGTTTATCATCATTCAAAGACAAAGTGGTGTGCATAAATCAACAATAGCAACAAAACTTTTCGGAGAAAACTAAAAAAATGTAAGTGTGTTTGAAAGTTAAGAGTCTGACTGTGAGCTGGGAATGAAGATTGTAAAAATCTGTGGGTCCGTTTACTTTTAATTCTTTTAAAAAAACATGTCAATTTGTGATAACCAACCAATGACGGAAGCCACATTCCCCCACTTAAAAATGACACTTCCTTTTACTTGTCCGTGATAAAAATTATACTGTAGTAAAATACACCTTCGTCTCCATGTGATCATTTGGTTGTTTATTTGACTTTCCCGGCTGTCACAAGAACTGGTGTTGTTTTACGTGTACAAAACAGAACACCGCTGCTAAGCTGCTGACCGCGGCCGTAGGTAGCGTGACCCCGGCTTGACCTCGTCTCAGAAGTCAGGTCGGCCAGCAACTAAGTGATCCTGAATGGACAGCTGTGAAACTTAAAAAAGCAATTTTTGATGGCATGCTACAAATTAAGAACAACACAGTGAACCTGTGAGTGTCGAGTGTCACCACATGAGTAATTACAGTGTTGTAGTTGAGTAAATTGAAGACTTACGGTGCCCACTGAGCTGTCTCCTAGCACGGGTTGGTTTTTCTTCATCATGTTTGGATCCATATGGAGAAGAGGCAGTGGTGTCACATCTTTACCGGACTCATCGAATATCTGACATGGAAGAGCACATTTCTCTCATATTACATAATATTTGCAGGGCCTCTATATTTAAAAAAACTGAAAGTGGTGCAGTAAAAGTGTTTCTGTGCCACTAAATACAAAGCAAATTTAGACTCATAATTGAATTTAACATCAACTTTTAAATACTCCTCCAACAAAATTAAGAAATCTGCAATCACTGAAGTCACAAGTGCATGAAATCCATCATGCAGTTCAGGCTGAATAATACAACTTGTATTCCTACTTTCTTGGTGTAAATTCAAACAATTTAAACAATTGACAAGCTCTGACCTATGGTGTTCATGAGCACTGATCTCCTCGGCAGCTAATCCATCTGAGATGATGTGATCTATGACAATGAAACGTCACTGAAAAAAAAAAAATCTACCTCCTGCATATGGGTACCAATAAGAACAATTGTCTCCTCCTTAAAGTCATCAAACAGTCTTACCTGTACCGGGATTCGAGTGTTGGCCGATTTCTCGCTCCCTGCGACACCAGGAGCCTGCCTCTTGCTTGCTGAGGACACCATGGTGCTTCGAGTACTTGCAAAGGCAGGGTTCCTTCCTCCCATTTTACTTCCTTTTGAAGTTGACGCATTTTTGCTGCGGTTTGAATCATGGACACCATACCCTCGCCTAAATAAAAACATATTTAAGAAAATAATAATGGATGATCTGAGAAAACAACTTCGTACGAGAACGGCGCAACTTTCTCCACAACACTGTGGCATAAGCATAGCCTCGTCAGACATGACTTTAACTACAGTTATCTTCCCACCCACACCATTGGACAAATCTAAGCAGAACCTTACATTCGGCAAAAGTAGAAATAAAAATCACATGAAGCTACAGCGAGCACCTAGCACAACTCTGTGATTGGCCTAAATATAGAAGACGTATTTCCGACATCTATTTTTGTCGTCTTCAAGAGCATCTCTCATGCTTCCCTTGCCAGTTGACTAGATCTCACGGTAATGGGCACCTCTTTTTAGAACGCGATGGGCTATGTCACTAGGTTTCATCGCCGACTGCTTGGACTGTGTGTGCATGTGCACGCGTGCGCGTGTGATTGTTTGTGTGTGTGAGCATGCGTTTGTGTGTGTGTGTGTGTGCACGCGCGCACGCTTGTGTGTATGTGTGCGCGCTTGTGTGTGTGTGCGCAAGCGCTTGTGTGTGCATGCGCAAGCGCTTGTGTGTGTGTGTGTGTGTGTATGTGTGTGTGTGTGTGTGTGTACGCATGCACGCTTGTGTGTGTGTGTGCACGCATGCACGCTTGTGTGTGTGTGCGCGCGCTTGTGTGTGTGTGTGCGCGCATGCGTTTGTGTGTGTGTGTGCACGTGCGCATGCTTGCGTGTGTGAGTGTGTGTGTGTGCAAGCTTGTGTGTGTGTGCACACGGCCTCGTGTGTGTGCGCACTCCCTTGTGTGTGTGTGTGTGTGCATGTGAGTGCGCACTTGTGTGTGTGTTTGCACACTTTGTGTGTGTGTGTGTGTGATTGTGTGTGTGTGTACAACTTTGAAGAGAAGGTAAATTTATGGAACGAGAAGAGCTGAGATTGTTTATAAAAGATAACACAAATTATTAATACAAAAACAAACAAAAAAGGAAAAACAAACAAACTCAGCGAGATCTAGTCAACAGTTGCTGGCGAGGAAAACCCAAGAGTCTTGGAGCAAACTCCAAAAGACGTCAAAAATAGATGAAAAAAATACGTCATCTATATTTGGGCCAATCACAGAGGTGTGCATGGTGCTCGCTGTAGCGTCATGAAAACTTTTACAATTCTTTTCCATGTAAGAGCTGCAACAAAACAGCTCTTATTCAATGAATCTGAAAACGTGCAACGTTTGGACAGTCCAGTTGCTACTGAATTCAGTTCCAAAACAAACATAATAAGTCCCTTAAAAAAATGTTTCCACATGCAAAAATTCAGTGCCACTCATGAAGCTTATTAATAGTTTGGTGTTATAATTCTGTAGTTCCCACCCCCCTTATTTGAGCCTAGATCTACATCTAAATCTATGCGTCTGATGCGGGGTGAGCTAAGATATCAAAGCTAACAACTGCAAAACATCAAATTATGGTAATATTCACCATAATGCCCCCCTGAAACCCCCCATCATATTTTTATTAGGTCAGGGGGGTAAGCGCCCCGCTGAAACTCTCCTACTCTTGGGGCCAAAACCTGCGAATAACAATTGCGGTGTGGGAACTACCGAAAAAGTGCCAATAGTTTGTCGTAAGGTGGAGGTGGCTCTGAACTGGGTGCTGCAGTTAAGACATAAGTGCACACTTCTGTATATTGATCTAGATTCTATCTGCAATGAGCAGTGCTGTTAAATAAACAGCATGCGCCATATTAATCTTTCACCCACGGTAGATAGTCGAAAGTCATATAACTGCGAGGGTGGTTACATACTTGCCCCAATATATGGTATCAGTAGCTGAATATGAAGCACAGACGGAAATGCCGCTAAAGGCATGACACAGACACAGATATAATTTCAGACCTAGATCTAGATTTTAGACTTCAGATTATGATATTCAAGCAAATGAAAACATTCACGATGATTTGTTTGCTGGGTCCATCGTCAGTTTTGAGACCAACCGATATTGCCTTTATTATAACGACTTTAACGGTTATAGAATCTTATAGTGACTAGATCTAGATCTAGTCTAGATCTATATCTAGATCTAGTGATGATGATAGATAATCTATAGATCTAGAATGATAGAAGAATCTGTGTTAGTCTAGTTTGTTATCAATAGCGTTTTAAAAACGGAGGAAAGTTGAAGAACAATTCGGTGTCCTTTCGATTTAACTTACCCTGGCGCAAGAAGCTGCTTTTTATTTTGTCGTGAACTTGACATGTTGATTAAGAAGGTGTATTTCAGAGACAACTGTGAGTTGAGTATGATCCTCAACCTTATGAGTTTATGATATTCAGTACTCCATCTTTGACTAGACGCAGTTGTCTCCCCTTGTTATGGCTTCATGCGTTGTCAATAGATACCATTGCGTTTAGAAAAGAATATTTGATTGGCCAAAGTCATTTGTCAGCTAAAAACATATCTGTATTTTTTCAGCTTACATGAGCATATATATGGCTTCAAAATTTTAAAAAAGGATTATATTCATTTGTTTCGTCTATAATTTACATACTATTCGCCTCTCAAGCGTATAACTTTATGGACTATAAGAAGAGAGAAAAATATAGTTCCACCAATGAAATGACGCCTCTCATAATTTTGGTGGGCGCACGCATTTAGGTCCAGTTTGGAGCCTCGTTTTGAAATTCGAGGAACTGCGGTTAAAATGGCGGAGGTTGTAACAGTTGTGTTGTTGTCTCAAGGAATTTTAGCATCTTATTTAGAGTAGGGATGTGCAAATGTAACGGAACTTTCAGTGTTGATGTGTTTTGTTCACTAGTATCGAACCATTTCATTTTGGTGCAGGTTTTGTGGTTATTATATGGAGAAGGCGGGATATAGTGGACTTCTACTATGAGCCGCCAAAAAGCTATCGATAATAGGTCATTAAAGTGACTGTTTACATCTGACGGGACACCCGATTGTTGGCCTCTATGCAATAATGTTGTTCAAAGACGCACCACTTTCAGGAAAGCACCAGTCGGCGATTAATTATTGTGAAAGATCTCATTGATTGATTTTCCTTTTGCTGCTAATTTATTGCTTTGCTGTAGATATCTAGTTTGTTTGCAACATTGAAATTGCATGTTTGGAGATTTTAAAGTTTACTGGG